CTCCAACAAACCTTTGTGGTAAAATATGGGAAGTTTTTAAAAAACATATCAGTCGAGCAGTATTGATTCGAAGCGACGTTAAAAGTTTATAAAATAGCAAAATGAAATTTAAGCACAAAAATAGAAATTCGTCATTCTCTATTCAGTGTTAAGAACATTATAGCCACTTTTCGAGATATTGATTTTTCTAAGATAAAAGCGGGAAAATAGCCGTAAATCCTGATGCCACATTAAAGAAAATGAAACAAGATATGTGTCCAATTAAGTACCCAACAGAGATAAGGTTGAACATCTGTCGCAATTTCCTACATATATTCGGGATTTTCATGTAAAGGTTGAACATTGTGGCAAGTTTTCTTTCCACATAATCATTTCATTTCAATATTGACTTTTCGATTTCCACTGACGTGTCAAATAAGACACGTTTGCTGAGGGATGTTTTTTCGTTTGTGCCAAACTTTTAATACCTTCCTCGTATGATATAGGTCACGTTACTAAATGCTCTGATTCCAACACTTGTATATCATAGAAACGACGCCTGATTAAGTCTCCACGTCTTGCATGTCAACAAGAACGGCTCTGGATCCCGTTGTGACCTATAGTGTATTACACAACACGAACTATTTGCCACGGGAATGAGACTGTTGCCCTGATTTCAATTATTGAAATTCAACAGCTGCTGTGCGGAATGTCTAATAAATCCTGTTTTACGGGATCTCCTAAAGGCACGTGCACCAGACACATACATCTCGTATGTACCTCCAATTATAACACGTGGCTAAGGTCAAACCCTAGGGTCAACCTGTGTGTGGACTTTTTCTAATTCTACCCGAGAACCATTTAGAGGAGGCATTATCCCAGCTATAACAGTATTTGTTCCATTAAGGCAACTTAAAATTATATTCTTGACACACCGTTTCAGAGGTAGCAATATTTCAGATATTGCAACATTGTTCCGTGCGTGAGCTCATTGTTATAATAATAATGACGGACTAGTTTGAAGTAACTTTATTCCAGTTAATAGCACTGTTTGTCACGTGGATGAGCGCATTTTTATTTTGTTGTACAGTACTTAGAGGTGACATTATTCCAACAGTAACACTGTTTGTCCCCTGAGATAACGCATTTTCAAACTTGCCACATACAATTTCATAGGTGACATCATTCCAAAAATATCACTGTTCGTCCCGTGAGTGAGTGCAATGTTGTATTGTTGACGTAGTAGGCGACATCATATCAACAACAAAAGCTTGTCCAATGAGCTAACGCATTAAATACTTTCATACGAGTCAAAATCATAGCTACATGCATAACACAGTTTGTCTCGATTTTTAATACATTGTTTTATGTCGACTTATTGTGTTAGAATTAAATTAGCCAAGCTTCATTGTCACACTTTTAACCTTTACTTGAGTAGAAAACGCCATTGTGGCTCACATTTTGAACTGGGTTTTGTGAGGCCGTCGTTGACTGGCTTTTTCTTTCACAATAATTCAATAAGAAGTCCTTGTCTACCCGATGGACGTGACACTTGAAGGTATTGAAACAAATTCTAATATGATATCCTGTTTGTTATTGAATGTTGCAACTGATGTTAGGTATTCTAATTGTATACGGCCTTTGATCTACTGATTTTGGTTATTCTTTCGAAGCTAACGAAAAGAGGACTAACATAAACAGCACAAAACAAAAATCAAAGACAACACGATACGTACATTTATGTACACACCATCAACGCGTGCGACATGAACTCAAAGACAACACGATACGTAGGTGCACACCATCACAGCGCGAGACACCATGAACTCAAATACAACACGATGCGTAGGTACACACCATCACAGCGTGAGACACCATGAACTCAAAGACAACACGATACGTAGGTGCACACCATCACAGCGCGAGACACCATGCACTCAAAGACAACACGATACGTAGGTACACACCATCACAGCGTGAGACATCATGCACTCAAAGACAACACGACATGATACACGTAGGTACACAGCATCAACGCGTGCGACATCAAGAACTCAAAGACAAAACGATACGTAGGTACACACCATCACAGCGTGAGACATCATGAACTCAAAGACAAAACGATACGTAGGTACACACCATCACAGCGTGATGACACCATGCACTCAAAAAAACCACGATACGTAGGTGCACACCATCACAGCGCGAGACATCATGAACTCAAAGACAAAACGATACGTAGGTACACACCATCACAGCGTGAGACACCATGCACTCAAAGACAACACGACATGATACACGTAGGTACACAGCATCAACGCGTGCGACATCAAGAACTCAAAGACAACACGATACGTAGGTACACACCATCACAGCGCGAGACACCATGAACTCAAAGACAACACGATACGTAGGTACACACCATCACAGCACGAGACATCATGAACTCAAAGACAACACGATACGTAGGTACACACCATCACAGCACGAGACATCATGAACTCAAAGACAACACGATACGTAGGTACACACCATCACAGCGCGAGACACCATGAACTCAAAGACAACACGATACGTAGGTACACACCATCACAGCGCGAGACACAATGAACTCAAAGACAACATGATACTTAGGTACACACCATCACAGCGTGAGACATCATGAACTCAAAGACAACATGATACGTAGGTACACACCATCACAGCGTGAGACATCATGAACTCTAAGACAACACGATACGCAGGTGCACACCATCACAGCGCGAGACATCATGAACTCTAAGACAACATGATACGTAGGTACACACCATCACAGCGTGAGACATCATGAACTCTAAGACAACACGATACGTAGGTACACACCATAAACGCGTGAGACATCATGAACTCAAAGGCAACACGACATGATACACGTAGGTACACACCATAAACGCGTGAGACATCATGAACTCAAAGACAACACGATAGTAGGTACACACCATTACAGCGTGAGACACCATGAACTCAAAGACAACACGATACGTAGGTGCACACCATCACAGCGCGAGACATCATGAACACAAAGCCTGAATCGGAACATGATAACACTATTGTCCAGTAACGGTACGTGGAATAAAGATTCTTATAAAGAGATTTAAATAAGGGAATCTGTATATATCTCTTCTTCACTCTAATGTTATCTTTACCTCTAGAAGAAGAATAATCGCTGAAAATTCGAAATAAGGAGAACCTAACCAGAAAGCCAAAATAAGCATGTATTGCAATATATGGCCAATTTGTCCGATTATGATTCCTCAGTAGTAGCAAGGTAAACATAATAAAAAAAAACAATGTCGAGAGTGATTCACAACATATACAGAAATACAGAAAAAACGAAAATGAGCCTATGGGATTCACTTTAACGTTACAAATAACCAACTTGCCCTTAGCTCACTCAATCCGATGTAGCCGTATCAGTATTAGGACTCAAAGGAAATACTTCAGAAATAGAAAAAAAAAAAAACCCGATGATTCCTGTGTAATGTGATCGATCTTCATCCGAAGAAAAAAAATAAAAATTCTATTGAAAACAATTGTACATTTTTCTTCAACTGTTGGTTTTGTGGAATACCTATCGATAGGAATCGGGAAAAAGCAGAATGCCAATACTAATTCCCCCTCAACAATTATTGAGGATAAGTCTCTACAATACATCGACGAATAGCCAGAACATCGTTTTAATTTTTTTCCGGACGTATTTGAAAATGTCCTACTTATATGGGTTCCAGAAAAATACAAAATTTAATGAACAGTATGCTCTAATTTGTGAAAGCATCCCGAATGATTGGTTTGGTTTAGTATTGTTTCACGTCCTATCAACAGCTATGGTTATTTACGGACGGCATCCCGTAGGAAAAAAACATCAATACAGCAATTGCAAGTACAGAAAGTCCTCAGCTCGGTCGATGGGAAATATAACGACGGACGCAAAATGTGGTGCAGTTACCGCTTAGCTCCTTCTGTACGTTAATTTGTTTTAGGTTAGTTGAGGTTGTTTATAAAGAATTTCATGCTGTTAAAACATACTGCTGGGTTTTCTGTAATATATTACATTACCTGTTTATATGAATTTTCTGTTAAGCAGTGTGTTATGTGAGTTGCCGTGTTCTCACTATCAGATTAGCTTTCCTCTGTTAGTTATGACGTGCTGAGGCTAATTAGGTTTATCGTCTTACTAACATTAAACGTAATAAAAGCTTGCCTCTAAGTTTGTTAAGCATGCGCGTGTGAGTGCATGCTGGAGACGATAGGTTGATGGAGTTGTTACCTCGCGATAGAGTGGGTCAGACGCCCCCAGTACTACCTCAGTGAACAAATATGCAACCAGATCACTTAATGCTGACTATTAAGCAGGGAATAGCAACTACATTTTTAAAGAACTTTGAAATATCTCGAGCTGAGGAAAAACAATACCATCCCTACTAAGGTAGTGGTTCAGAATCGGCACAGGTGAATATTGTGAGGGAGGAAACACAACAGTTTGTACAATGTCACTTTGAGATAATGGTATCTAGAGAAACCTGTTTGTATTATGGTATCATAGTTGGTTTATAACCTAACCTCAAAATTAGATGCTTTGCTTTCTAAATTGAAGTTTTCCTGCAAGTAAAATGATATGTATTCCTGTTATTGAAAATGAGATTGTTTAAAAATTTTTATAGACGGGGTCACAGGAGGTAGGACCACGAAGGTTGGCCATGATAAAATCGCAAGACTAGATTCTTATCTTTGCCGTTTTACTTAAAATTGTTGATACAGAAACACTTGTTTGTTTAACAGGTTTCAGATCCCCCTACTTTGAAAGAGTGGTAGGTATTGGAGCTATATGTCAACAATCCATTAACAAGGTCAGATGACCATCAATAAGATATAATGTAACAGGTTCCTTACTGTAAAACTCTTAGAAAACATGCATATACATATACCTCTAACGTCGTGATCTACAAACATGGATATCTTTTATTGATTTATTGTATCAACAGAAACAGAAACAATATGCAGACGTGGATCTACTGGACATTTGTGGTCACACTAGTCATCCTTCAGCAGACGATGGCCACGACCTTGACCAACCTCTTCAACAAAAGCGTCCTCAAAGGCTTAGAAAAAATACGTAAGCGACAACAGCACGGACCAGAACCTGCAGCCGCCTTCCCTTCCGTCAACCAGGTATGCACGTTCTAGTTCCCGGACAGTATGTTCTTTCCGTACACTATGTTCTTTCCGTACACTATATTCTTTCCGTACACTATGTTCTTGAATTCCACTTCATTAACCAGTATATCACGTACATTGTAGAACAAAATCAAGTATTCACGCCTGTCATTTCCTTCTGTCATCTAGATTGAAGCTCACAGAATGTTTTCACGTTCAAAATTAACAGCGAAAAATCAATTAAAAAATCTGAATTAAAAATTAGATTCTAGAAACAATAACTCCCGTCTTTAATAGGCATTGTATCAAATCAGTTTCATAAAAACACAAAGATATAGGTTTGAAGTATTGCACGGTTATCCCAATTGCATTATTGAGTGATTCAGTCTTCAATACAATTCAATTGCGATGTTTTGACCAAATGTTGGTGTAAACAACATGCTAATATCTGTATGTTTTATTGATGTCATGCTTAATTGCCGCTATAATGTTCTGAAGACTGATACATATTTGATACACGATTGTTTTCAATGAAAACGTAAATGTTTTAACAGTTAATAGATTCATTAAGGGGTGGTGGAGTGTTTTGTTTAGTGTGGGTTTATTTGTTTAAGTGTCATATTGAAAACTAAGGTAATTTAAGTACTTACCGCCAGGTTTGTAATGTATGTGTGCACTTGTGGAATGTTTACAGAAGGTAATATGTGTGCACATGTGGAATATGTACAGGAGGTTGTATGTGTGCACGTGTGGAATGTGTACAGGAGGTGGTATGCCTGCAGGTTTGGAATGAGTACAAGAAGTTGTATGTGTGCACGTGTGGAATATGTACAGGAGGTGGTATGCCTACAGGTTTGGAATAGGTACAAGAGGTTGTATGTGTTCACGTGTGGAATATGTACAGGAGGTTGTTTGTGTGCACGCGCGGAGTGTGTGCAAGAGGTTGTTTGTGTGCACGTGTGAAATGTGTACAGGAGGTGGTATTTGTGCACCTGTGGAATGAGTACAGAAGGTTGTTTGTGTGCACGCTTGGAGTGGTTACCGGAGGTGGTATGTGTGCACGTGTGGTATGTGTACAGGAGGTGGTATGTGTGCACGTGTTGAATGTGTACGGGAGGTGGTATGTGTGCACGTGTGGTATGTGTACAGGAGGTGGTATGTGTGCACGCTTGGAATTTGTACAGGAGGTGGTATGCTGGTGTATTTACCTCCGTGAAGAGTACTTTAGTTTGACTGGTAGAATAGTTTGTAATGCATCACCGTTTATGGGAATTTTTGTGCAAGTTAGCGATGTGTCGTAGAAAATAGTAAAGTTGTATAAATATCCTATTCAAAATGTCTCGTCTCTAGAGTGTGTGGATGATGTGAGATTCCAGATTACACATTGGTCAATATTGTGTTTGTAGAACATGGCGCTACGTTTGGTTTCAGAGTTTAGATCGGACAATATTTTGTCTCTTCGGCGTGTTGATACTAGAGTACACGTTCGTCTATGTCACGTTTGATGAACAGAACTAAAGGGTAGGATTACAGAGTACAGTTAGGGTACGAACCCATCGTTAATACATGTAGTACGAGCATAACCAATTATATATTATATTGTTATACATTTATATATATATATATATATATCCTCGTTCCGTAGAAAATTCTATTTATATATATATCCTCGTTCCGTAGTACATTGTAATAGATATGCCCTTGTCTCATAGTACGTCGATTTAGATGTGTCCTCGCCCCATTATACATTTTTCAAGGTAAATTTCATACAATTTAATGAGTATAAACATTTTTAATGGGTCTCTTTTTCAGATCTGCTTTGGTCTTGATCAGCTAGAAGGTAAGTTTTAATATTTATTATTTAGCTGATGCTACATTGTATTCTTTCATGGACAAATGGATGAAGGATACTGTAGTGTGCAGTCTTATCAAAAAGATCGTATTGCAATTGTATAATAATATATTTTTCCTTACAATTTACAGGGACCATTTTGCTGTGGTACGGCTTTACGGTTAGATTTCGTAGCCCTATATGGGCGGTATTTCTGCCCACAAGCACCCAGAATGCGTAATTCCAATGAAGCTTAACACTAGACCGTAATATCCAGTACATATGGAATTATCCTAGAGATGCCAAAATGTTCTAATTGGATGAGTTGAATTTGTCAGAAACCTGAAGAACGAGATCTTAATATGTTATAATTTGTTATAATATGTTATAATATGAAATATGTTATAATATGAAATATGTTATAATATGAAATATGTTTTAATATGAATTATGTTTTAATATGAAATAGGATATATCAAAGTTTTTCTTTTTTCGCATCAAAGCACGCATCAAACGTTTGCAACGTTTCAAGACCGACTGATCTCTTTGTTAATCTAATGCTTGAAACGTTGGTATGGATTATGAGAGGTCATAGCTTGACAAAGGGACTACTCCATTGACACATTATGTGTTGTAAATTTGATAAGGCAACTTAAGTATTTGGATGATATTTTGTTATTTCAAGATATTACGGAAAAATGAATATGTCAGATAGTTCCAATTTTAATTGATTACTCTAAAGACAACTAATCTAAAATTATACTGTATTTTGTTTTCTGATCAGGTACGAATTCCTTATAATAATAGACTTACTATTTCGAATTCAATGTTTTCAACTGCCGAAATTGTCAATGTTTTCTTATATTTGCAATTTCTCATGTGTTTCGGTCCGTTTTTTTCTGAAAAAGGGCTCATATTTATCATTCAGGAATAGTTTTGTCAAATTTTGGGTTTCTGTGTTTCCTTGATGATAATGTAGGTTTTCATTGATGCCTTTATTTTTCAGTGATGAAAATATTGTAAAAGGGCAATGATATAGAAAAGTTAATGAGAAAATGATAAAGTATATTTTTGAATATGATGTTTGGGGATCAGACTCTACCGTAACACTACTTGTTTTCTTTAGTAAACAAAGGCCATATTATGATATCGACTCTCCCAGACGCTTTGTTTTCTGTCCTCAGCTTACAAGGATCAGTTTGCCACTTTTATCGATCACAACAATGACGGTAGAGCCTCGTTTGAGGAGATCAAGCACTACCTCCAAAAGTACAACAACAAGGTCACAGATGACCAGGTCCGGAGCTTCCTTCTCCGACGGGACACCAATGGTACGTGTATACAGTAAGATTGCCGTAACACACACACACAGATACCCACATTCACACCCACATATACCCCCCCC